GTTATGCCAAATACTTTTTGGGTGAAAGAGGGAAGAACAGTAGATAAAGATGACAGAGAAAGATTGATCAGGGCTGACATTGTTTTAAGAAGAACAATTCAGCAATTCAACGCCTAATTCAGATTTAGACCCTGGGGAAAGACTTGGGAGTAGGGGGCTACATAACAGGATAAAACTCTGCAGAAGAATAAAAAGTAATATGGTAAAACACAGAATATAAATAAGAAGCTCCATTTATCTGTTTTGTAGGTCATCAGGTACATCAGTTTTAACAATATATGCAGCCTTTTTGCTCTGTGTAACACTTAGTTCCTTTGGTGCTAAGGTTACTTTGCTGGAATAAGCAATGCCTCATTGCAAATCAGTTGGTCTGGAAATCTCTGTTTTATAACAGCTTCATATATCATTATAAAAAGAAGCATGATATAAAACTATATACTATTATTTATTTTTTGAGATGGTGTGACACTGTTATTGCTGAGGCTGGTCTCATATTCATGGGTCAAACAATCCTCGCATGCTTAAGTTATGTAGAGCTTTATTTTTTGAGATGGTGTGTCTATGTTGTTCAGGGTATTCTCAAATGATCCTTCTGTGTTTGCCTGATGCGTAGCTGGAACTACAGGTATCCCCAACAAGCTCAGCTTTTAAATGTCTAAAAAGATAGATAAAGCTTTCTTGGTGGTAGGGTTTTTTAATATTTCTTCTTTTTTATTAATCAGAGTTTTTAAAAAGTGATAAAATTATATTTTTTTGGTACTACAGGTGTTGTCCCCAACAAGCTCAGCTTTTAAATGTCTAAAAAGATAGATAAAGATTTCTTGGTGGTAGGGTTTTTTTAACATTCTTTTTTATTAATCAGATTTTTAAAAAAATGATAAAATTATATTTTTCATGTTAATTTTAGATCCTATTATTCATAGAATTTAAAACTACTTTGTGACTGCTGTTAAAAGTGGTTTAAGTAACTAATTAATTTTTTTAATGGAACCAGTTAATTTTAAGAAAAGGTATTCGCTATTAAAATGTGAAATATATGCTAGTTGTGGTGGTGCCCATTTGTAATTCCAGCATTCATGAGGCTAAGGAAAGCGGATTGTCCAGAATTTGAGGCCAGCCTAGGCTAAATAGCAAGTGCAAGGCTAGCCTGAACTACAGAGAGAGACCCTGTCTCAAAAAAAAAAAAAAAAAAAAAAAAAAAAAAAAAAACCCAAAAGAACAAAAACAAAACAAGAAACACAAAAAAAAACCCCAATTCCTGTCTAGTGGTACCCAGTGTTAAACGCCCATCTGTGTATTTTCTAATGTGGCAGGAGTTTGGCAGACTGCAAGAAAAACATTTCTTCAATACAGTACCATGTTTAAGTTCAGTATAAAATACTCTGAAGATGGAAGATCTACATGTTGGGAGATGTAAGGGAAATTTGTATTTGCAAAAAAAAGTGTTGTGACATCTTAATCATTTTTAAAGGCACTTTCAGAAGAACGATGGTAAGAAGCACATTTTGAAAAGATTCAGCTGAGTTTCCAAGTAACTTTAGACAGAAACATACTTTCTATTTCACTTACTGTTCCATCTTTGTCAGTCTGTATTTCCTGAGTATGTACTGCACAGCACTGTATAAGCACAGAGAAAATACTTTAATGATTAGTTACCTTTCATTTAGAAACTAAGGAAGTAAAGGGCCCAGACATGTATATCATCATAACTCCATACAGAAAAATTACCATTTATTGAACTTAATGACTTCTTATTTCAATCATGTAAGAATGGTAAATATTAATGGTATGGTAGGCAGATTTCAAGGTAAGCAGAATGACCTCACCTCCTGGTATCTATGCTTCTTTCCCCTTGTGTGTTAACTGGTCTTGGTGACTTGTTCTAGCCAGTAAAATAAGGTGAAATTGATGGGATTTCATTTCCATGATTAGGTTATAAAGATTATGATATATGTCTTACTATTAGGCTTTATTGCATTTGTGATGTGTATGCCTTGCTAAGGCAAATTCTAATTTAGGAATGTCCATCTATGTTGTGAGAATGTGAAGGTGTTCTGCACTTTTGCTCAAATATACCTGGTCACAATACAATTTGCTATTCACACTCGGTTTTTACACTTGGGCTATTGTGTTTACAGTTTGCATTTTGGGTGATTGGTTGAGGTTGTCAAACATTTTTAAAATAGATCTTACCAATAAACATTTTTTAATTTAAAAAAACAGAATGTGAGGGTAGTCTCTAGCCAACAGCAAATAAAACTGAGGTACACAGTCTCATAAAAAATATTAACAACTCTTTGGGCTGAAAAATTGATCCTGAGTTGAACTGTCAGATGAGACCTTATACTTAGCCAATACTTCATTGTAGAAGTGGGTGAGACCTTGAAGCAAAGGACTCAGATGCCCGATCAATGAAATCTCTGCAATAATAAGCGTGTTGTTTTAATCCATTACATTTTGATAATTTTTCATGCAGCAGTAAATCAATAATACAGGTAGTAATAAAAATTCCTGTAGTAAGAAAGAACTTATTCAGAAATTTGGGGAATAACTGTTATTTTGATAGATATTATAAATGTCTTAGAGAAAAGATTAATCAGAGGAGTGATGTTAAAATTGATTATAAAACACAGTAGCTTACCTGGAACATAAAGTTTCACAATGAACAACTATACACACAGCTGGAAGCTATAGGAACAACACAAAGCTCTTTTGGTTATAGATGAAACATTTTCTGTTTCTGCTTTCCATAACATGTATATAATCATTTATTTGAGAGCTTCTATAGGAGGTATTAGGAGCCTTCTGTTGCCATGATATATATATATATATATAGTGGGATCTGGTAATAAATATCAGTAACTGATTAATGTTATTATATAATATATTGTATAAATATAAAGGATCACTATGTAGGTTATTTATTAAGCCTACTAATCTAACTGACTTGTAAATATTCAGTCCATCTGTATGTACACTTCCTACAGGAAAACTCATTTTCAAAAACTGGACTCACGTCTATCTTGTACAAATTGGATATCCTTTCTTTAGTTCTTTTGTTTCTCATAGCTCATCCTGCTAAAGTAGAGCCTGAGATCCATTTTGAGTATTTTCTCACATGCTATAGTATCCCTACTCAATCAAGTCTGTTTAACCTCAGAAATGACTTTTAAATCTGTCTTTCTACTGCCCCTGTCATTATCTGAAAAGTTTGGGAAAGGACTTCATCAGGTTCTACTATTTTAAGTCCTATATTTGGATAAAGTTCTATTTTCACAAGTTCTATCATGATATATAGATAGATATAGATAGATAGATACAGATACAGATATAGATATAAATGTAGATATAGATATATTCTTTTCTAAAATGGTTCCTTTTCATTCTCCAGCAAAGGGTTATTATGAGCCATGGCTGTAAATTAAAGGCTCTCAGCCAAAAGTCGGTTTCATTACCATATAGGCTTATTTGTATCAGTTATAGTAAAAAGGTAAGTTCTGAAAAATACTTTGTAAACATTGCCATTGACGTTCTAATTTAAGTAATGTTTCATCTTTATTTCTGAAATATTTGTTGTCAGTGTAGTCTAACAGTTTAGCATTCCAGGACTGATTAGTAAGAAATGGACTCAATTATAGAAAAAATTTAGGTTAACAAAGAAAATTTTTTTCATCGAGTCACAGGAACAGTTTATGTTTTAGGAGTTTAGAAAAAGCCTCTATCTTTTAGTGGAGATCCAAGACTTTGCTTAAATTTATCAGGCCAATAATAAGTTCAGCAAAAGTTTAATTAGTTGGTGATGGATTGAGGCTAAGAATGAACTCAGTTATATAACATATTCTATCTTCATGTCTTTCAAAATAATTTGCAAAAATAAGCAAAAACATGTATCTCTACACATGTAATTTTTTTTGGCTCTTTTCTACTATTTTTTTGGTCAGTTTGTTTGAAGAGTTCCACTCCTTTATGCTTGTTTTTGAGAATTGCTGGTGCTTTTCTGTTAGTGTGTAGCTTTGTTTGTGGCTTTGTTAGTGTGTGGCTTTCTGTAACAGTGATTGTTGAAAATAAAGCATTGTTCACTCCTGTTTTATATTTATTAAGAGATTTCAGGAAAGGAAAATTTTATAATTTCACATTTCCATAAAAAAGCATGGCCATATTTTATCTTTCTAAAAATATATTACACTATTGATAGCTCTTAAAAGCAAATTGAAAATGTCCAGTAACTTTCTTTACTGAACAAGTATTTATCAAACCTACCTCCATAATGCTTATATGCTAGTAAGTAGGGACCCTGAACAAATAAGTGAGTAATAAGATAATTTCAGTTTATGTAAATTTTGTGATGAAAACAAATAGGGTAAAAGGACAGGTGTTACTATCGCATAGAAGTGGGGAGGAAGGAGGGAGAGGGAGAGATAGGTAAGGCCTCCCACTAAAGACAGGCATCCTGGCAAAGCCTAGAAGAATGAGCCAGGCCTTTGAGGGTCTTCCAGGAGTGTTTCAGGTCTGGGAAGTGTCAGTGTGGGGATTTAGAGGGGGAAAGAGCTGGTGAAGTTAAGGGCCCAGAGGACAATGTGGATGCAGTATGGTGAGGGAGGGGAGAATGGAATGAAAGAAAATAGGAACCAGATCTTTTTTTTTTTTTTTTTTTGGCAGAACTTTGAACTCAGGCCCTTACGCTTGCCAGGGAAGTGCTTATCCTACTGAGCCATCTCCCCGGCCCAGGAACCAGATCTTGAAGAGCCCTTGGGTCATAGTGAAAAATTTGGAGATGCTGGCCAAAAACAAAAGGAAAAAGAAGAACCAAAAACAAAATAAAAAACATCTACAAAAACCACACAAAAGTGGAAGTGAAAGGGAAGGAAAAAAGTTACATAATCTACCAATTCCTTACAGTGAATGTAATCATGCAAACATGTACTAAGAAAAATTAAAAGTTAACATCAAAAAAAGAAATTTCAGCAGACTGGAGCGCTCAGGGCACTAAGACGGAAGCAGCATGGATACTGACTTGTATGATGAGTTTGGGAATTATATTGAACCAGAACTTGATTCTGATGAAGATGATGATGAATTGGACAGAGAAACTAAGGATCTTGATGAGATGGATGAGGACGAAGAGGAGGATGCCGCTGCTGCGTACAAGGACCACGCTGGGATGGAGGTAGTGCTACACGAGGACAAGAAGTACTACCTGATGGCTGAGGAGGTGTACGGCCTTGAGATGAAGAACATTGTGCAGGAAGAGGATGCCCAGACACTCAAAGAGTCCATTATTAAGCCTGTGAAGACCAAGAAGATCACGCTGATGGAGCAGACGCTGCCCATGACAGTGTATGAGATGGATTTCTTGGCGGATCTCATGGACAACTTGGAGCTCATCTGAAACGTGAAACTTTGTGGGCACCTCATGGCAAGACCTGTTTTGTAGTTTGCTTAATAGAACAGACCCACTCAGAAATTTGAAAGAGATATGACCAGGATCTGTGCTACATAGACATCCTCTTCACTGAGCAGGAGAGAGGCGTGGGCATCAAGATTACACCTGTGATAGTGGTCTTGTGGGAAACCAAGAGGAAGTCGTACCTCTTCAACATCATGCACGCTCCAGGCACGTGAATTTCTCTGATGAGGTCACTGCTGGCCTCCATATCTCCGACAGCATGGTCCTATTCATCGATGCTGCAGAGGGAGTGATGCTGAACACCGAGCAGCTGATCAAGCATGAGGTGCAGGAGAGGTTGTCAGTCACTGTGTACATCAACAAGATTGACCGGCTCATCCTGGAGTTGAAGCTGTCACCCACAGATGCCTACTACAAGCTGTGACACATTGTGGATGAGGTCAACGGACTAATAAGCATGTACTCCAGTGATGAGAACCTCACGCTCTGTCTGCTACTGGGCGAGGTATGCTTCTCCAGCTCCCAGTACAGTATCAGCTTCACAGTGGGCTCCTTTGCCAAGATCTACACAGACACCTTTGGTGACGTTAATTACCAGGAATTTGCTAAAAGACTCTGGGGTGACATCTACTTCAACCCTAAGATGTGGAAGTTCATGAAGAAGACCCTGACCAGCAGCTCCCAGGGGAGCTTTGTGGAGTTTGTGCTTGAGCCACTCTACAAGATCCTGGCACAGGTGGTGGGCAACATGGATACCAGTCTCCTGAGGACCCTAGACGAGATTGGTATTCACCTGACCAAGGAGGAGCTGAAGCTGAACATCCAGCCTCTGCTCTGTCTGGTCTGCAAGAAGTTCTTTGGGGAGTTCACAGGCTTTGTGAACACTTGTGTGCAGCACATCCCGTCCCCAAAGGTGGGTGCCAAGCCCAAGATCAAGCATACCCATACTGGCGGCTTGGACTCTGACGGTGGCGAAGCCATGCGTGACTGCGACCCTGATGGCCCACTGATGTGCCATACCACCAAGATGTACAACACAGACGACGGGGTCCAGTTCCATGCCTTTGGTTTTGTGCTGAGTGGCACCATCCATGCTGGGCAGCCTGTGAAGGTTCTCAGGGAGAACTATACCCTGGAGGATGAGGAAGATTCTCAGATCTGCACCGTGGGCCACCTGTGGATCTTGGTGGCCAGGTACCACATCAAGGTGAACCGAGTTCCTGCTGGCAACTGAGTCCTGATTGAAGGGGTCAACAAGCCAATTGTGAAGACTGTGACTATTACAGAGCCTATTACAGAGCCCTGAGGCAATGAAGAGGCTCAGATCTTCTGGCCCTGGAAGTTCAACACCATATCTGTGATCAAGATCGCTGTGGAGCCAGTCAAACCCTCAGAGCTGCCCAAGATGCTTGACAGTCTGCGCAAGGTGAACAAGAGCCACCCATCTCTCACCACCAAGGTGGAGGCGTTGGGTGAGCATGTGATCCTGGGCACTGGCAAGCTCTACCTGGGCTGTGTGATGCATGACCTGTGGAAGATGTACTCGGAGATTGACATTAAGGTGGCAGACCCGGTGGTCACATTCTGTGAGACAGTGGTGGAAACATCTTCCCCCAAATGCTTCACTGAAACACACAATAAGAACAAGATCACCATGATCGCCGAGCCTCTGGAGAAGAGGCTGGCTGAGGACATGGAGAATGAGGTGGTGCAGATCACGTGGAACAGGAAGAAGCTGGGCGAGTTCTTCCAGACCAAATATGATTGGGATCTGTTGGCTGCCCACTCCATCTGGGTCTTTGGTCCTGATGCCACTGGGCCCAACATCCTAGTGGACAACACCCTGCCCTTGGAGGTGGACAAGGCCCTCCTTGGCTCTGTGAAGGACGGCATTGTGCAGGGCTTCCAATGGGGGACCAGAGAGGGGCCACTCTGCAACGAGCTGATTCGCAATGTGAAGTTTAAGATCTTGGATGCTGTGGTGGCCCAGGAGCCCCTGCACTGGGGCAGGGGCCAGATCATCCCCACAGCACGGAGTGCTCTGCCTTCCTCATAGCCACACCCCATCTGATGGAGCCCTACTACTTCGTGGAGGTACAGGCACCTTAGGATTGTATTTCCGCTGTGTATACCGTCCTGGCCCGATGCAGGGGGCACGTGACTCAGGATGCACCCATTCGAGGCTCCCCTCTCTACATCATCAAAACTTTCATCCCGGCCATCGACTCCTTTGGTTTTGAGACTGACCGAAACACACACACACACACACACACACACACACACACACACAGCCAAGCCTTCTCCCTGTTGGTCTTCCACCAATGGCAGATCGTGCTCAACGACCCCCTGGACAAAAGCATCATCATCTGGCCCTTGGAGCTGCAGCCAGCCCCACACCTGGCCCATGAGTTCATGATCAAGACCCAGCGCAGGAAGGGCCTGAGTGAGGACCTGAGCATGAGCAAGTTCTTCGACCACTCCATACTGCTGGAGCTGGCCAAGCAGGATGTGGTACTCAACTACCCAATGTGAGCCTTGGGCCAGCAGAGGGATCTGTATCCGATGAGACCCAGAGAGCTTTGTGGTGCTGGATCTCTCATGTGATTGTCGTGCAGGCCTGCTGCACACCGTAGTGTTTCTGTGGTGTGGGCCTCATGTGTTGACCACATGCTGTGGGACCCACGGTGCCATGCACCTGGCATGGTTCCCCCAGGGACAGCGCAGACAGGAGCACCATCTTTGGAACTTGCACAGACTTCCGTTTCTCACCCATTCCACCATAATGCAGCCCCATGTTGTGAATGAGAACACTGGCCTTTGCAAAAAAAAAAAAAAAAAAGAAAAAAAAAAGAAAAAAGAAAAAAATTTGAGTTTTTCTATCTAACAGCGTTTATGTCCTAAGGCAGAATGTAATCTTCCTTTTGTTAATAGGAAAAAAACTAACTTTATTTTATTTTATTTAGAGTTTGGAGAGAGTAGTTGAAATTCAAAGTCTTTGTGGAAATATAATGTTCTTGTGTTATAGTATTAATGTAATAAATTATATTATTGAGGATACCCTTAGAAATTTGCAGAAGGGGATCATGAGAATTAGAAAATATAATTTCAATATTTGTTTCCAACTCTAATATTCTATATCTTTTGTTCTAGTTTAGATGTTTGGTGAAACAGATCAAGTACGTTTTTTTTTTGGTGGTACCAGGGATCAAACTCAGAACCTTGTGCTTTGCGGGACAAGCACTTATTCTACTGAGCTACCTCCCCAGCCTAGATCAAGTACATTAATAAACTATTCTAAAATCATGGGATATTTAGAAGTCCAAAGTGTTGATATTTATCTAAATGAATTGTCACTTCAGTAGTTCGTTTCTAGTTTCATAGTTTTAAGTGATATAGTTTATTTTAAATATTTAGATTAGTTAATATCAAATTAAAAAGTAGTGTTCACATGTTACTCTGATATCCATGGCACACTGTTAACATCCCTAAACTATACAACATTTCAGATGGTTGTAGTTATGCACCATCATGTATGTTCATATAGAAGATTATAAATTATTATTTTTTAAAAAAATCTTTTTGAGACAGGGTTTCACTATGCAGTTCAGGCTGGCCTTGAGCTCACTTTGTAGCTCAGGCTGGCCTCAAACTCACAACAATCATCCTGCCTCAGTCTCCCGAGTGCTGGGATTACAGGTATGTGCTACCATGCATGACAGTTAGTTTCGTATATAGTACATTTTGTGTTATTTCATTTTTATGCCAAAAACCTTCAGATATAGCCACAATTATATAGAAAAGACATCAAGAAATAAAAGATGGATTACAGACAAGTTGAAGTAAAAAATTAAAACTCAAGGCCCATGTTTTATAGACCTTATTTAACACCATAATAATGCATATAACAAATTGAATTGAATCTGAGGAGATATGAAACATCAAAAGAACAAAAATACATCATATAAGCTAAATATCCAAAGTGAGGAGCATATCTCGGCATACTAAGTGCCTGCCTGGCAAGGGCAAGGTTGCCAGTTCAATCCCTGTGCTGGCCCCAGAACTCCAGTTGCACCACGCCAGCCACCAAAACTGGGCGTAGTAGCACATGTCTATAATCCCACCGCTGGGGAGGCTGAGACAGGAGGATTACTACAACTCTGAGCTGCATAGCAAGATCCTGAACCAAATAAATAAAAAGATTTCAAAAAGTTAAAAATCTATTTGGAGATGAATTTATACTAACTGTTCAGGAAGGTAAATTGTTTAAAGTAATGATCATCAATAGTAAACCTGTTCAGTTTTATGCTATTTATAATTCTCTAAAATTTAACAAAAAGATCAAATGTAACTCTAGACAGTATACTTTTTTATGTACATGCCTCTTACATTTTGTAAAGTACAACTGTAGTTCATCAAAATGTGCCCCAAGGCACAATACCATTTTACTCAGTCATTAGAAAGCTTAGCATAATTGCTAAGCATAATCCAAAAAAAACAGGAGTACTGACATCAGGGACTCTCTAATTTGTTAGGCAATTGTTCCATAATTTTTGGCACCAAGATAATCCATATGTTGAAGAAGCAATTAATCATTAGTGTTAGTTATCAAGCTATGATTTTAGCTGTTTCCTCCTAAATTTGACAAAAATGAGAGTTCCTGATTTTTGTAATATTCTGATTTTTGAGATCAAAAGTTTTAAGTATGCCAGCCTAATCAAAGTTGACCTGACCTTTGTTATTAGTTTTCTAAAATAAGTAGAATATAATTCTATATTCACATAGATGAATGATATAGAAGCTGCTAATATTTAGATAAAAGGTATAGAAACCTTTACAAATTTAGAGGATTACTCCAGAAGTTACTTGAAGCTCTTAAACTAGCATTTTGGCTTCAGGGCCATTTTATGTGCACTTGGAACCCGTAATGAAAATAGGCCTGAAGAAGAGAAGACACAACTGGGTTTTCACTTCCCTAAATTGGGCAAATACAGTGATGTAGACACATCAGTGATTAAATATTAGGTGATATAATTACTTGGCCAAAACTTAGACCTAACTATCTTTTAATTATTTTACATCATAAGGATGAGCAAAAATCAGAGAATTTTTCCTGTCTCCAAAACAAAAGACAAAAATCATATTGCTCACCAACATGTATGTCTTAAGTATATTTAAAACAATCCAGAAATAGTGAAGGAAACCTTGGAAACTTAACAGTCTGTGTTAAGTTTATTCAGCTACATGTGGATACAGTGCAGACTTAAGAATATAAATGAACTCTTCTATGCATACATAACTTATGCGTCTGTACCTCATCACTCACAGAACAGTTTTGGAAACTCAGTCTCTGCAAAATACAGTACTGCAACTCCCAACAGTTTCTCTGATTTATTGTAAAGTTACTTAGTCTCTTACTTTTCTGTGTTTATTTTTAAGTTGCTGCACTATTGGGCAGTTTATTATTCTGCTGGGTAGTGGAGAAATTTTCAAAATCCTGAATGCCAGGTAGTCAGTTTGTGACAAAAGTCCTCAGACCTGGTCCCTCAAAAGGAGCAATTAATGTTTGGTCTCAGAGTCTATTTTACAAATTCAGGAACAATGGAATGCAAATAAATTTCTCTTTTCCTATTGGTTCTTTCATTGTTGGTGGTACTACTGATTTGAAAATAATTTGTGTAGTTTGTTATTAGTAATGAATAAGACATGCAAAATGAAGTTATCATATAGCTGGATAGTGTAAAGGATAGTAAATGCCTAAATTCTCAACAAGATTACATACTGTGTACATCATCATGTTGTAGAAATGTTGGGAAATTTCTTTTGCTCTTGAGTAGCTCCCAGATAATACTTTTCTTTCTTTCTTTCTTTATTTATTTTTTATTTATTTTTTTTATTTGAGAGAGAGAGAGAGAGAGAGAGAGAGAGAGAGAGTGTGGTGTGTGTGTGTGGCTAGCTCAGCCCACCAGGGGGCGGGGCTGGCTGGCATGTGGTGCTGGGGGATTGAACCGCGGTCCCTGATGCTTTGCCAAGCTTGTTCTAAGTAGGTGCCTTAGACCACTGAGCCATCTCTCCAGCCCAAGATAATACTTTTCAAGAAAAGATAAAAACCCCACTTTATTTTTTTAAAAAAACCCATTTTATAAGTTAAGTTTATGAATGATAGTGGCAAATTGAATCCTGACTTCCTAAAACCTCAATGCTATAAACTGTAGCACTTATAAGAAAAATGATCACTAAAGTACCTTAGACATAGCTCAAAAACATCTATAAAGGATCCTACTTTTTAATAAAGTAACTACATTTTAAATAAATGTTCCTTGGTGTAGGCATTTTCCTTGGTCAGAATGGCTGATTGAGGGGACACTGCTGGTTGCCCTGTGGCATCCATTGAACCCATTATGTGACAGCCATGCCTTTTGAGCTATTGAGCCCATTACAGGAGTTATACTAAAATGACCAATTGTATATAATTCTAGAGTGGGTACATGATGCAGAATTCCAAATTAGATTGACCATGTTAAAGTCAGCACCTTATTTATTTTGACACTGGTGAATAGTTTCTCCCCCTAAAAGGATGGTGTAATATGCCACTAGTTTGGGGAAAACATACTTGAGGTTTAGGTCAACTGGACAGAGCAGAAAATCTTGATTGGAAATTTAATCCAGCTTTACCTAAGCCAAATACGATTCTGCACTTAGATTAGGCAATAAATTATTTCTTTATCTTTGTTTCTTCCCCTGCTACCCTTCTGTTTTTGACTACTTCTAACTAAAGTCTTGTTACTGATACATTTTTCAAAATGAGCCCAATAAAATTAGGACTGAAAATCTTGTCTCCATGTATTTCTCTCTCTTTATTGATAGACCCCTTCTTTCTTTTCCTGGCCTCTCCTGTCCTCTCTTTCTCCCTTCCCCTCCTCTTCCCTCGCCTCCCCTTTCCTCCTCTCCTCTCCTCCCTTCATTTCCTTCATTCTATCTTTTGTACTGGCCCAGCACATTATTTTCTGTACTGGCCACTGAGATATTAAACTCACAACCTCACACTTGCCAGGCAGGTGTTGTGCAGCTGAGCTATATCCCTAGTCCCACTGAGATATCTTAATTATGCCACTAATATAAAATTAAGTGTGGATGACCATATTCAAGTTTTGGAATGAAAACTGCATGTTTTATAGTGACTTCTATTTCCTGTCAAAATTTAACCATTATCATGTTTGCTAAAGGAATCTCAATCTGGGGCCGGGGAGATGGCTCAGTAGGATAAGTGCTTGACTGGCAAATGCAAGGATCTGAGTTCAATCCCTGGTTCTGCCAAAAAAAAAAAAAAAAAAAAAAAAAATCTCAATCAATGTACTGCAGAATGACTCCACCATAGCTAGAATTTGGGCAGTAAATACAGATTTTTGGCTGTTCAGAGACTTCTAGAAAGGTAGCTGAGTAATGAAGAGCAGAGAAACAGCTTCTCCAAGATTTGATGTCCTGATGCTGGAAAATAACAACATGAGAAAGAGGAGGGAGTGGGTCCCACCAAGGGATCCATCAAGGATCTGAAGTGAGAACTGAATCCATGGGAGAGTGAAGAGAAAGACCTCACAGGAGAAGGAAGAGGCA